ACAGTTTTTTTTTTTTTTCCAGTCAGAATGTGGATGGGGAAATGATGAATCGTCTTTTATGAGAAGATTTCATCGACGACGTACAGGTACTCATAAATGCGCCTCACGACTTGATATGGTCCATTTTATTAATTATATTCTTGCTTAATTAAATTTGAAATTAAATTCATTACTCCAAAACCTACTCTAAAAAGTTCAATTTATGCTTTTACTAATAATAGCAATTTATGATGGAATTAAACTTACTATCTATTGACCTAATTATTTTTTATCACATAATGCACCATTTGGATTTCTTATTTTCAAAAATAAAATTTCATTACTTCAGATACCCAGTAATTTTAATTTAATCGGTTTCAACTCCATATGATCTGAAATATTAATAATTTTAGCTAATCGAAATTCTAAATGATCTAAAATATCCAGGATTCGCGAAATTTTAAATTGAAATTCTATATGATCCGAATCATTTAACAATTCTGATTAATTTTAGATCACTAATGATTTGAAATATTTAAAAATTATGATTAATTTAGATCCCATGTGATCTAAAATATCCAGCATCATATAAATATTGGCAAAATTTACTGAAGACGATATTAAATAAATTCAATTTCACAAACGATTATCGTCCTTGTCCAGGCATGTTCAATAATTCTATCGGTGATTATGGCATATCACCACAAACTCCAATTCTGGTAATTTACTAATTCTGATTTCATTCATTCGTTTAAGTAATATTGAAGAAAATTTATATAGTTGAAAAAATTTGTAAGAATGACAATTAATAATGAACTAATAATCTTGCATAATTAATTTTACCACCCTGAAATTTTTTTAAACAAATTTTCAAATTTTTAAAGTTTGCTAAAAAAGATTTGGGAAGAAATAATTTTGTAGGCACCAAAAATTAAAAATATCAATCAATTTGATAAAGAATTTATGCTTCGCCCAAAAGATTTCATTATGCTTTGTCCGATTTGCATGATTAGTAGCAGATTTTCTTCGTAAGCTCATTTACAATTTTAATAAAATTTTTTTTTTTTTTAAAAAAGAATGGTACAGATATAGCGGAAATGAACCTCCGGAAAAGTTTTTGTCTGTTCAATCAGTAATCTCTCCGTTTTCATTCCGTACACCATTTGCTTAATGATACTGATAATTGCGATTTCGTAATTTCATTTCCATTTTTTTTTTTCGTCAAAAAATGATTCGCAGTTTTGATAAGATAACTTAACAATCACTACTTGAACTTAATACAAGCAATTTCCCTAGCATAAAGATAGAGCTGTATTCCATTTATTTTCATTAGCAATTTAAAATTACCGTAAAAATTTAAATTTTGCCATATCAATTTTCAGCTATTGAACGATAATAATAATAATAACAATAATAATAATAATAATAATAATAATAATAATAATAATAATAATAATAATAATAAT